TTGAAAATGATATATGTATTGAATGAGAATTTAAATTCATCTTCAATGGCTGAATAAGAAAATTGGCCTTCTAAGAAACTTAAGCATCAAATTCAAAAGGTTGATGTTAATATTCTGACCGATTTACAAGGCTTACTTTTTCTTTTCTTTTTCTTTTTGGAGAGAAAGAAGAAAAAACATATATTTTAATGTATCATTTTGGGTTTGGGCGTCTAAAATGTGTGTTTTGTGTGTGTGAAAGAGAGAAAGAGACTCACATCAACATCGGACAAGTGACCTGCCATTATCCTCAAAGGTTGTATTCTATCCATAGACCAAATCCTTGCTGTTCGGTCATGAGAACAGCTAGCAAAATAATGCCCCACAGGACTAAACTGCACCATGAATAAGAACATACCAACAATTCTGCTCCAACGGGACAAGGGAAACACTTTAAAATAAACAACTGAAAACAATTTGAATCATTGTACCTGAACATCCCAAACAGGATAATTATGACCCTTGTAGCAAACAAGATTTGCATTCAGTTTTGTACTCCATAACCGAACTGCAGAAAAGAATGTGGGAGACTTTACACTAACAAATACATCTTAATTCTATGATACAAATATTATTCATATATGCAAGGAAAAACAAAAGAGGGATATAGCCAGTAATGCATAGGCCAGACTAGAGCATACTTGTTGTGTCTGCTGAAGAAGAAAGCACAAAGTCTCCAAGAGGACTAAAAGTGGCTGAATAAACAGGTCCCGAATGACCCTGGAAGAGTGTATATGATCTTTTTCCACCACTTGGCCCTATCACATGTTCATTAGTACTATCGTTTTCACCCTGCAAAACAGCTGGCACCCGCACCACATGAACATTTTTGTATATTGAAAATGAAGCAAATAAACTTCAATATGATTACAGGTAAGGGATTCCCAATTATTTTTGTAATAAATAAATTGGACTTGGAAGAATTATAGAAAGAGATGACTTTACAACACCCATAACGGGATACAAAATTGGAAATATACATCGGAGACATACATATGATAACCCAGTTTTTACATAGATAGACTTACAACTGTAAGCTTTCTGCCCAAGCTTTGCCATGTCCCAAACCTAACGTGTAAATTTGAAGTTAGCAACGAACATACATCAAATTTATATTAAAAAATTACAAGATGGGATACCTTAAGCGACGAGTCTGCAAAGCCACCAGCAACCAAAGATCCATCATGAGATATTGAGGAACAGTTCAAACTGGGAAGTAAAAGCAAAATGATAAGCAACCAATCAGAACGTAAAAATTATTTTCTCAAAATAAAAAACCTTCATCAGTAAAGTTACCCATTATGAGTGTTGATAAATGTATAAAAGCTGATAGAAGGCAGCGCAATACTGCTCAACTGCACACGGTTTCTTAAATCTTCAAGAATGGACTGTTCCACCTCTGTTGATCTGAAGCAATGAGGTTAATCAATAGCATGCAGCAGATTTCAGTATTTTGAAAATTGATAACCAAATTCATCTAAAAGTCCTTGTGCACAAATTAGGTATATAAGCAATAATGAGATAATTAATTGCTGCTCTAGACTCTAGAATCTATTGTGCAAATTCTCAAGTGCAGTTACATAACCGGCTAAGAAGTATCATGATAACAGGAAGAGGAACCCACAAGCTTCTAATCAAAGTAGTAGTGCTAGGGTAAAAGGCAAGATCAATACTCATGCAATAGTTGGTTCCAGGTTTAATAGATTACATGCCAATTCTATTTTATTAACAATCTGCAAATGCTTAGAAGGCATATCCTGGCAGAAGAAGCATATACACAGAAAACAAAACAAGAATTCTTCAACATACATTATGGGCAAAGTAAGCTCTGGCTTGACTCGTGGTGCCATAGACTGAGTGTTGGCATCCTGACGCACAGCTTTAGCAGTTGCATTAGCAGCTTTATCCTTTTTTAACTTTTTCGTTGAAGTACCTTGCTTCCCACTTTCTACTGGTCTTTTCTGGAACCAATCAATGCAGTGGTACACATGTATGAAAATTGTAAACTAAAGTCAGTCATGTACAATAATATGAAAAAAGAATGTTGGCATAATAAATGCAATCAACAATAGGTACAATTGGATGCCAAACTCACCTTACTCTCATCCAAGTCTCCCTCTTTGTTCTCTCCGTCCGGCTTTTCAGAATCTGAAAGCAAACCCCCTGCCTTGTCTAAGCGATCTTCTATAGAGTCTTCAAGCAGCTGTGACAAAAATTATAGTTAGGTTTCATTTCAAACAGCTGTTGAACTAAGGACATATCCACCCAGCAATTACAGACCCACATTATTGCAAGGCTTCATAAGGAGTGAACTTCAAGTGCTAATTTTCAATAACTCCATTAGAAAGAAACCTCTAATGACAAATTGATAACACATGATGACTCAAAACAGTTATGGTGAATACAGGCACCGGCTAGGACATGAAGGCAGTCCAACCTTATTAGATAAGACTTGGTTGGCATGACATGAGAGAAACACAAATAAATTTTTCATATTTTATGGATACCTCATATAAATGTAGGATTTCGAAATATTGCAACCAATTTTGGTTTCACAACTGAAAAAAAATCACTCTATATACATTTGATATGAAAACATAACAATGCTTTCTTTCTACAGAGACTTGCAACCATATCTTACTTCGATGTCCTCAAGCGTCATAGTTAAAGAGCATGGTATATGGGATTTTGGGTGTCAGCTGGGCAATGTCAGGTAGTGTAAGGGATGAGATATGGACATGGAAAGGGGTGAGTGGTGTCTCATTCCTCATACAATTTTTTGGGTGGTGGGGAAAAAGAAACAAAAGGGTTTTTTGATAGGGGTAGGGATAGATGGTATCAAATTTTGAGTTGTTTGGTTACCAGTAACTATTCGTACTCGATGAAGGATTTTGGTAACCTTATCGAAGTTTTAGTTGATGTGTAAAATATCTTTTGCGTATGAGTTGGTACTCCTTTGGTGCTTGTAATTAATGAATATACATTATACTTTTTATCTCAAAAAAATAATAAAGCTCTGCTTTAAACAAAAGAACAGATCTTGCATCAAAAGCAACAATTGTCCATGGTAATAGTTTAACATATAAAAACATGATTATTTATCAACAATTTCACGAAGCATCCAAGTTTCTTCGAAAGTCAATGTTGAGTTTGCAGCTCCCATTCAGAGAGAATATTGTCCAAAATGACCTTCAAGCAAGAACAGGTTTTGAATTATTCATGTTTAATCTCAGCTTCATTTTGTGCGTACATCAGGGCTGTGGATTTTTTAATTTTTATCCTCAATTAACGAGATAAATTATAAAGGAAAAACCTTAGCTTTAAGAGAGAATTTTTCCAGTGTAGGTGGCTTTGTGGAAGCAAGTGCAATGCCAAACCATGAAAAACTGTGCTCTTTTTTTAATTTTCGCACTTAGTTTAACCTATAAGTATGGTGTCCGAGTATGTTCACTAACAACACCTAACCAAGTAGCATATGATAACATGAACCCATATTATTTTCCAGAAAATCTTGTATCAATTCAGAGATGATGGAAGAAAATAATATATATTTGCATAAATTCCAGTGACACTTCTGCATTGAGGACATTATCTATGCAACACCAAATAGAAATTAATTTCAAACACCTCCTTGAAACCATACCCCCCAATGTACTTCTTTTTGATTTATCTGTGTAGCTGCATCCTGACAACCTCCTGTAAGCGTTATAGCCTCAGCATCATCAGAAAGAGAGCTCGGCTGTCCAGGGGAAACTGCCAAGAAAAATAGTCAGATGTACCAAACATGCATCAGCATCAACAATCTTATCAAACTCATATATAAAACATGGGATTGTATTGAAAAGTGAGCTTACCTTGGAAGTTAATACGTTCATTGATAGTACCAAGCATTAAAATGGAATGCGTTCTGTGTAAAAATTGCAGCAGAAGTTCATAGGAGTACTGGCACATTTGTGGGCAACCAGATATCAGCAATTTACATGAATTGATAAATATAATGCCACCATATTGAAATGTTAACCATCAAGCAGCTGTGAACAGAAACAGTAAATGGGGAAAATCACCTACAATATCTATCACACACACTAGTAAATATTAAAAACCGCCTGGCGGACCAGGAAATTACCTGACATATTTTGATGTTAACTTTGCTTTGCCTTAGAGTACGAGCAAATTCCATTTCCTATTAAGTACATATCCATCAGATTTTTTAGGATGACAATTTTAAGATATTACATCTGAAATGAAGATTTAGGGTGCTAACTAACCTCAAGATGATGTGGAGAAAGAACACCTTCCAACTTCTGAAGATCTCTGAGATGCATCATGTTATGATCTTCTCGAAAGTTATTGAAGAAGTTTCTAGCTGTAGATATCGAGCATAGTCATACAAGAGTTACATATAAAATTTGCCAAGCAGTGACCTCATAAAGTTGCAACTCTAAGGCAAACCTTCTTGCAAATGCCCTTTTGCCACCAGATCCATGAAACAGTGAACAAAAACCGGATAGAGCACACGAAGCAACTCATGCTGCACAATGCAAAAGACAAGTCATGCAACTAAAGCATGAGTTAGTGCAGCAATGATTCTAAAAGGAAAAATTTAAGGAACAAGTTCTATCATCAGTCACCTTGTACAGATCTAATAATCCATAGGTCCATGCCCTCAGTTTGCTATATCCATCCTGGTACCGTCCTGGATCATCCTCTGATCTGAAAAGCAATAATCATTCAAGATGGCCACCTTACTCAGTCCCTATAAGTTCAATGTACTGTATCTAATTTGGTTCTTTTATACCCAATTCATAAGTTCTTTGAGAAATGAATGTCTGTACGAATAATCTGGGTGAGGCGGGCAATTTTTCACATGACTCATTTAGTAAACACACTCGGATGCAAATTACTGACAAAAAATAGGTAACAAGAAGATCCATATCTATTTAGGACGAAAATGCATATGAGCCATTCAAAAGCAGGATCCCTGTTATAAACCCCTTTTGCCACCACTGCAGACCAATGGATACCAAAAGCAGAAGTGATTTCACAAAACATTTCGTAGAAAAAAGTGAGCACCGCCATAGTGTAATTAACTGATAATAACCAAAGTAAGAAGAGCTGTGAAAGGTAACCAGTAAGAAAAATACATAGTCTGCTCAACCACTGGTTGGCGGCAAAGAGAATAAAGACATAATATAGGCTACAAAGTGCAATCAGAAAATATACAACACTTCACCTACGCTTCATAACTACAAAACAGCAAGTTCGAGTGTCTACGGCAGAATTTCCATGCTTATTATGGGGCATGCCATGGAAGTCACCAACGATATAATTGGAAAGTGGATAATTCAACAATCACAATGAATTTGTTCGCTTAACAAGATGATTTTATGTGCATGCCATAATGGGGTCGAATATTAATGTAGTCTTCTCTCCAATTTTTAAAATGTCACGAGGCACAACAGTAATCGATAGTAAGAAACCCTAAGGTGCGGAAATTCCATAAGAAGATAAATAGAATTCAAATCGACTCCAACTCTCTCAAAACTGAAGCGCATGGACCCGTGAGCATCAAAACGATATTGCAGTTGAAAGAAGAGAATAATTACTTGGAGAAGGAGCGAAAAAACTTGGAGAGCTCAGGATCGTTCTGAAAATCGATGGACTTGTGGCTGCTGCTGTTGTTTTGTTGAAGATCCTCTTCGAGGCCCTTGGCAGCAAGCTTGAAACCCTTCTTCCTCAGGTACGCCAACACGAATTCGTCTAACTGCTCGCCCTCCATTTTCGCTTCCTTCTCAAACCCTCTCTACACTTCCTCTTCTTCCTATATGTTTTACTCTGCTACATTTGCCAGCAAATCGCCTCGCCCTCGCTCTTTCTCCCGCTTGCTACCGTCGTCGTCGTCTAGGGATTTTGTATAGCAAACTGACGAGCCCAGAGAAGGGGAAAACCCTTTGAGGCTGTGAACTTGTAATGGACTGAGGCCCATGGACTGACCTTGAAACGTTGGGCGAGCAGTACATAAAGGAATAGTGTGGGGCCCAAAGTAACCGACCCATTTTTGTTTTATGGGTAGATAAAACAAGTCCGGATTACAAAATGGGCTATGAAACTAATTTGAGTTTTTAACATAAAATAATGTAATTACTTTCTTGAACATTAACGTGATATGATATTTTAATATTATTTATATATTTTTTATGTTTTTAATAAATTAAGAAAATACTATAACATTGATTTGTAAATTCATATTTAGTTTATTTTTTTTTTTAAAAATGTAATTTTTATGAAGATTGAAAAAAGTTTAGAATCTCCTGTGTTAATATTTTTTATTATTTGAATAAATATTTTCGTGATATTTTAATTGAAGTATCTATAATGTTATAAATAATTTATATAAAAACAATGAACTTGTTTCAATCATAGCCACCTTTGTAATTAAAAAATATAAAAATTTCAATTGACAGCTAATGGGTTTTTGTCCATTACTATTTTAGACAGTCCATTTAACAACGTTAATGTTAATGACTGTATCAAATAAATTTAAATTTTACAGTAAATAAATTTATTCCAAAACTTTTATATTTAGATTAGATCTTTATCCCTATTACACCCGGTTATAATTTTAAAATTTTCTTTACGTGATATAGATAATTATATTTTTATATTTTAAATTTTAAATAAATAATATTTAGTACCCATATAATTGTATTATTTATATATTTTATTTAAAAGAATAAGAGAAATGAAATGTATCATTTTTTTGTTTAATTATATATATATATATATATTGATTTGACTCTCACAAATCTGTTTGTACTTTCCAAACTAATAATTTGTTTGTGTGTTGTACAATTGACACTTGCCTCACGGGTCGCAAATTGACCGAAACTTATTGGACTCACGAGAGCTACAAGCCAGCTAACCACGCGGCCCGCTCAGTGACTGGATTAGGTCATGATAGCAGACGTAATTGCCTTTCCTTTGGAAATATTTGTTTTATGTTCTTTTAAAAAATTATTGAACCTTTAGAATAATTTTCTTTTTGTTAATCTACTATTTTTAATATTTAACTACCTAAAATTTTAAATATAAATGAATAAACACATGTTACCAAGTTTTTTAAATACTCCACTTATATAATAAAAAAAGGATTTCTCCAAAATTAAATATGAAAAAAAAGACCTCCATTGAGGAACACCGATCATCATATAACTTAATTGTTACGGAAGACCAATCATCATACAATTTACAACTATAAATGACCACCCCGAAGGCACAAGCCTCTATAATCAAGGTAATCCATATGCAAGGGTAGAAGATATTACTTATAATCTTTTTATTTTGTTCCCATAGGTCGGTATAGAAAACTATATTATTGGAAGATGTAATCATTGTAAAAGAGTAGTTAAACAACAAACTTGATGTTTAACTAAAACAAACTCTTAATATTGCATGAAGCAGTTGACAATGAGGAGTATGATTAAAGCTCTTATATATATACACATCCGAACCGTTTAACAATTTACACTAATTGTTAAACTATTTAATAAGAAAGTGAGCTTTCAATATTTGAGCAAAAACTACGTAAGCTACGATAAATATCATGCATCTTCCAACTTATTAATTTTGCTAGTGATTTTTATTTGGTATGGAGGACCCTGGATTAACATAACTCTACCTCATTGCAAGGCCATGAAGTCTTAATTTTGACTTCGAAGAAGTACTCATCAACCAATTTATTAAGCTAAGTATAGAATATTTTGTTAAATATTTTTTTAAAAATAGACTGAGTCTTGAATTTGGTTGTGTCTTAATAATCGGTACTACAACTTCATTGATTGCCCGCGGGAGGTTTGTAAGGATATATGTCGAGCTAAACATATTAAAGCCCCTCCTATAAAATTTGGAATACATAAATGACCCTTCAAAGTTGAATATGAGGGAATCCATCTTATTTGTTTTCCCAGCGGTTCATACGGGCACGTTGTTGAGGCCTTACCCCTATCGACTTTTGTTTTTAGTGCAAGTAAGTTAGATGATGCTCAGACAATCCTAGTGGGCTTACTTAGGAGATCAAGAATATGGAGCATATTTCTTTTTGAAAAGACATCTAGGTCCACAACAAACCTTTGCTCTTGTACCTAAGATCCTCCATCTTATTCCATTATCTTAAGAGAAATGATGCCTCCTATAAAATCTAGTGGTTCATGGTGTTGGTTAGAGTTTGATGATATTTTGCCCTTAAAAGTTTACTAGGATATTGTCAATACTAGATTTAGTCTTGAGGAGAACACTGTTGACAAACTGATTTGGGCTAACTCAAAATATTAGAACATGTTTATTAAATTGACTTATTTCTTCCTTGTCAACCCATTTGAGAGCTTATCCAATGAGATTTGAAAAAAGATTTATACTTTATATATGTCTGAGTATGTTAGAAATTTCGTATGACTTCTCACTTCCAATCGTCTTTTGACAAACACAAAATAGAGGTAGCGTCATATTATCAATAACATGTGTCTTAGATGCAACAGGTATAATGAGAGTTTTTGATATGCTATTCGGGATTGCACCATATTTAAACACGTTTGGCTTGATTTAATCTATAATAATTTTACTAATCAATTTTTTTTTTTTTATTGGTGGATCAAGTCAAATCTTTATAATATCATCAATACCCATGAGATTGCCAGCTCGAAAGTCATTTTTCTAATTATGGCTTGGATTCTTTGGAAGAAAATGAATAAATTTATCCATGACGAGGATCACTACACTAAGACTCCTTATGGCATAAGTATTATATGTACTGCCTTAGAGTTTCAAGATGGTTACATTGTTTGTGGCCCTTAAGGCAATGTAATTGTGCGACCTCATTAGAGAACCCCATGGTNNGATGCTTGGATCACATAAGCTTCCGGTGTCTTAGAGAGGCTCAAGATCGCTTGGGCATCAAACGTCAGAAAACTCATCATCGAGCTTGCTCTTTATGCATGTTCCAGTTACTTCAATACCTAATTAACCCTTAACTTCATTGTCGTACAACTGTGAATTAGATATATGATTTACTTAATAAACTTTAGGAAATTCAAGTTTCTCATAGCTATTATTTAATATTTGTATGAATCGTCTTGCCTCCTTAGCCTATCACACCCTATTTGGAATCATCTACCTTGTTGAAGCACCTGTTTACCTATAAAGATATCTATTCCTCAATAATTGTGATACAACTTAGGCCCAACTAATAAGGTATAAATTATACATTTTTTTTTTCTTCTCTCTTTGTAATGGAAAAAAAAAAAAGAAAAATAATTTCTCAAGTGATATGCATATATTTATATGAGCAGATATAGGTGCATATTGTACCATTAATCATTCATTAAAATTAATTTGAAATTTCATGTAATTATTTTAGATGTCACACGATTATTTTTTGTCTAATTTTTATTTAAAATTTAATTAATTGTTAAAATTATTTTAGTATTTTTATATTTATAATTAGTTTCTTTGTACTATAAATTTCTCAATTATCTAACGTTAATCACAATTTTGTTAGATTTTGTCGATTTTTATTATAGTAATATTCAATTTATATATTTTAATTATTTGATATAAAAAAATATTTATAAGTTCATGTATATATATATATATATATATAGAGTAGGCAATTGAACTAACTCCACCATTACTTTCAGTTCTAATATAAAACATAAACATGGGTAATGCTTCTGATATATTCAAAAATTGAGACCACACATGTGGTAACCAAGTGAAGAATATTTGAGAATTGAGCGGACAACACCTAATGACAAAGTTAGAGAGAGATATGACAATCAAAGTAATGTTTGGTTGCTGTGTATACGTTTTCAAAATATTTTGATAAAAACTAAAGATAAAATACATTTTTTATTAGCTTTAAACATAAAAATTCTAAATATATTAGTTAAAAATATGCTCATGCTTTTAATAGTTTGCTTCACAATATTTTTAAGCATTACTTTCTCAAATCATGTCACAGTTTTTTTTATTAAAACTATTATAATTATCAGTGACGGCAATTGAACAGTACCTTGAGACACCAAATAAGCATTTTGTGAACGCGACACGTGTCCACAACCCAACAGGTATTGATTGGACCCACAGGTTCCACCTAAAAGCCCAAACAAAAAACGACGACGC